ATATTTTAAAAACAGAATTAAAAAAACAGAATTTATAGTTAATATTTTAAATATTTTAAATGTTATATTTAATATGTTATATTTATTAAGTTATAATTTATATATTTTAAAAACAGAAAATAAAATATTATAGGTTATATTTTTATTGTTTATAAACATAAATTATTAAAAAAAAATAGAAAAAACAGATTTTAAAAAATATTTTTATTAAAAAAATAATTTTAAAATTAATTTTAAAAAAAAATTATTTTTATTAAACTCAATTATTAATAGAAGTATTTTTATTTTATATTTTCTGTTTTTATTTATGGTTCTACGAACCCTTTAAACCAAACCTTTTGAAAATCAAGCTTAGAAACATAAAGGCTGTTGAACGACGTTCATATCGCACTAATCCCTGTAGAGATGATAAAATTGGGTACTTAATATTAAAATTGGGTACTTAATATTTTTTGCTTGCTGCTTTACCGCATCAACATATACCCCTAACTACCTATCTGACTTTACAGATTGAATTATTACATTCTAACTAATAGTATGTTTCTTTATAGGGAATTTAACGCCTCCTATTTTCAAAACATCGATGAACAAGCAACTACCAGTCATATACATGCATCTTTTCCAGCATGGTTCAAAGAGCAATTGTTATGCATTGTTGCACCGACTCAAGAAATAGTCCATTTGAGAAACTTATCTAGAGACCCTCTTCAAAGAGCAATTGAATGACATGCATACTTTGTGAATGGTTATAAATTTCACACCCATGCTTGGACAGGAGGGAAAAACCATAAATAGCGGTGTATTTGTTAAAGGAGTTATAGATGGCGGTGGAGACGACTTCTATGGCGTTGTTACGCATATTTACGAGTTGACATACAATTACTTGGACTCGAAAAATATAGTTGTCTTATTTTATTGTGATTGGTATGATTCATTTGGCAGGGGCACAAAAATAGATAAGAAATATAAGATTGTTGAGATTCGGATGGACAGAAGGTACAAAGAGTATGACCCTTTCATAATGTCACATATCGTTAAACAAGTTTATTATGTTCCTTATCGTTCAATTCAGCCACGTAAACATGGATGATGTGTTGTAATCAAAACAAAACCATTGGGTCATATTGTTCCCACAATTGCTTTTTCGACGTGCTCTGTCCACGTCACAAATCTTGATTAGTGACGTGAATACCATGTGAAAATATACAATATTTCTTGCAGTGAGAAATTAACTCTTTGACTTGTGTGCTCTGCTGCTAGCCAGATGGGCATTACAACGGGACAGTCACGAAGCACATGGATAGTGTCTTCTTCAACATTTCCAAAAACCTGCACATTGCACTTCCAATGCCCATCCGACTTTTCTTCCAATTTTTAAAGCAAACCATCATACCAAAACAACCATACGAAGTGACGAACTCTTTCAATCGTCTGCATCTTTCAAATATTTCTCCATCCATCTCTCTCTGCATATTTCCTATAAATATTAAATCAATACAGTAATCAACATCAATTAAATTGTATAATATATGATATTCATAATTTTAAATTTATTTTATTACCTCGTGTATGTCTCTAATTTTTTAAATGAAATATACCAGATTTAAATTTGTGCTCTTATAAATATATACCTATGTATAACTATCAACACAATTGAATTAATAAGATTAAATATATTATATAATAACATAATTTCTCATAAAATATAGGTGTTATGAAAAAAGAATGTCAATTTTTTTGTTTGAAGATCGCCTTTTTTTTTTTTTTTTTTTAATTTTAAATATTCAACATTGGTGATTTAAATTTCGTGATGTTCTAATATGGTTTGGATATGATTCGATTTTTTTTTGTCATATTTAATCTTGATGAAATTACAAATAAAAAACACTTAAATATAGTAAATTAAAATTCCGTCAAAATATTTTTAATTTTTAATTTTAAAAATATGTGTTAATTTTACTTTATTACATAAAATGGGGTGAAACTTTTTAAATAAACAATTGTGGTGAAAAAAATATAAAATGATAGTTAAAGACGAAGTCTTTTTGGAAATAATAATGAAATAATATTTTTAATTTTTTGGTTCTGTATTTTTGAAAAATACACACGATGATTTATTTCAAGAGATTAAGAGTATCTTTTTGTTAACAAGTGAAATTATCACATATTTTAAAAATCTCTCTTACTCTGTGATTCAATGTAAGAACACTATATTTTCTATAAATCTATTGCTGTGACCACTTTTTTCAAAATCCGTGAAACTTTTTAGAATATTAAAATATACGATGGAGAATGTATGTGAAAATTTAATTTTCAATTTTAAAGTCATACTACTTTTCAAGCTGTCAAAGGAAAACAAAAAGTCAGACATAACATGATTGAACCTCGGACAAACATAAACACGCATCCTAGATTTAATGTTCATAGATTGACTTCTTAGACCGATGGAAAAAGACATTATGAGAATGAATTCTTTCTCAAGTAAAGAGGTATGCATTATTCAATTAACATGTTAATGCTCATTGGAGATATTATAGATCAAAAAAATTATAATAGATTAAATATTATAGTAATATATATGAGTCCGTTTGTTTTTGTTTTTAAAAAAAATAATTTTTATAGTATATTATAATTGTGTAAAAAAAATTTAAAACTTTTTTTCATAAAAATTTCAAATTAAAATCTAATTTGAATAGTTATTTTTAAAATGCTAATTTAAATATTTTATTATTTTATTAAACTTTGTTTTCGAATATTGAAATTTTAAAAAAATAATTTAATTTTAAAGTTATTTCAAATAGTTTTTCATAATAATCATTTTAGATATACTATTTGTTTTAAAAATTATAATTTCAACTATGTTTTAATTTTCAATAATATATTTTTGTATTATTAAATGTCAAAATTAGTCTTTTAATTTAGAAAAAACGAGTATGAAAAAACTTATGGTATTTTAAAAAATAGTTTTATAAAATCTATTTTTAAAAATATAAAGAATTTAAAAAAATAAATTTAAATCAAACATGCCCATGAACACTCATTTTAAAACAACTTTACCATTTCAATTTTATTGACGTGTTTAATGATTTTATTAGATATTTGATTCCATATGCATTTAATGTTGATTGTTAAGACTATTTTTATTGGATGTTTAATTTAATATGTAAATTTTGTGATTTTTTATTTTAACTTCATTAGATATACAATTCAATTCTCGTATTATATTGACTCTAATATATATTAAGTGACTCTAATATATATTAAGTGACTCTGATAGTTATCTGATCCGACTATCAGAGTCACTTCTTGAGCACATACTTTATATCATCAACATACCTCTTTATTTTCTAATTGGCAGAGGATTGCTCCATAAGAAAGAGTTAGACGAGAAACATTCAATCGAAAATTCTTCAAACTCTCATATAGGATAAAGAAAGAATCATCCTAGAGTTCCGAGACAATGAGAAGTCGGAAGGAAATCCTAATGTGACATTTTCGTTAGTAATGATCTTCGTCGTGGACAATCGCAGATATGCCAACTTATTTTTAGGATTGTACTAAGAAAAGAAGACTTCACGTCATATAAAGGTCACAGTCTCCATGCATTCAATGACTTCGTCACCCACCATTGTGCCACTAAGTAATTGCCAAAAAATTTGAGATAATGCAGCTTGACAAAAACTTTGAAAGATCGCCTAGATAATGACCAACTTGTTGACATCTGAAAGGAGAGACCTCGTCGAATGCTTAAGCGTTAATGTCGACATTTTTGCAATTTTCTCTGACGAAATGTCTGACATCAACCCCAACGTAACATGTCACCAGATGAATATCGACCCTTACGTCTGATACATAGCCTTGAGAAGGAGAGGATAATTCCTTAAGAAAGTCAAACCCATTAACACAATTTGTGGTATGATCCATGCCAACTTTATATTTGAAGTAAAGTATCCAATGTTGTCTAGGTATAAAGACGTCCGAAAAATAAAAAATGTGTGTGGACTACACCGGCCTCAACTAATCTTCTCCCAAAGATTTGTATTCAATTTCCATTATTGACAAGATGGTAGATAATTTTGTTGGCTACAAACTATTATAATTCATGAATCCGTACTTCAGATATAACCAAATTCCTTACACAAAGCGAACAAATACAAAATCACCTTTATAATTTAAAATTAAATCAAATAAAAAAACTAATTTTTAATAGAAATTAGTTTTGAACCGAACCAATCTAAATATAAACCTATTTTAAAAAGATAAACTGATTTTACAAAACCTGTGTTAAAAATCAAATCGAATCAACTCCTGGTTCATCAAATCGAATCAACTACAAAGGCAGATCTCAATTTGCACATGAAGGTAGTTGTGCAATCACATGATTGGAAATAATACAATTACTGGTTCATCAAAATCAATAGGTTTGCAAACAACAACATGCTTACATCAAAAGGATTGGGAAACCAATAAATATAAAGTAGAAAAAAATCATGTACAACCAAAAAGAAGAAAAGAAAATATCTTTGAAACTATGGCTATTTAAGAGGCCTATACTAAATACATAGTCATTGACTTTACCACTACTAAATGAACAATATTTTAAAAAAGATGTCATTTTCAACAAAAGCATTACTATATAATACTACGTGTGTAGTATATAATCATATACTATTCTATCAGTTTCACGTAAATTTAAAATATGTAATTAATGATCTTCATTAAACTATTTCTAAAAAGTCTATATATTAATGAAACCTTCTCTTCTTGTTTACACTCACCTCACCACCAACTGTTCCGGTCAATTCTCCACCACATCTTGCCTGAAAAGATTCCTGACTAGAACAATTATTCAGGTACTTGATTAATTATTATCTTCTACAAAACACTCACACACATGCTTATGCATGTGATGATTAAGATATTAAAAAATATATACTAATGTTGAAGAATGAACTATTTACTCTTGTATTGTTCTTATATGCAGGTGCTTTGTACCTTAAATGGAGAGCTTAAAAGCACCTTTTAAGGGAATTGTGAATGATATAAGAGGAAGATCACAGTGTTATAGAGATGATTGGGCTTGTGCTTTCCGTTCCGGTATTGGGTAAGTTTCTATAAACCTTAGTTGCAACTCTTGTATCGGTTCAGTTGCAGACCTCAATTTAAAACTAACTTGCACTGTTTTGTTTGAACGATGATAGGATATTGGCTCCAACTACCTATATTTTCTTTGCTTCTGCTTTACCTGTTATTGCCTTTGGGGAACAGCTGAGTAGAGACACAGGTTCTTCTTCTGCTTCTGCTGCTGCAACTTTATTCATTATTACTACTCAAAAAATGCGTGTTAGGCCGAAGCTATTTGTTGTTTATTTTGTTTGTAGATGGAAGATTGAGCACAGTAGAAACACTAGCTTCTACAGCCATATGTGGAATCATACATTCAATTATTGGAGGCCAACCATTGCTTATTGTAGGAGTTGCAGAACCAACCATCATCATGTATACCTATCTGTACAACTTTGCCAAAAATAGAGATGCCTTGGGACAACAACTCTTTTTGGCTTGGGCTGGATGGTAACAAAATGAAAACAAAAACAATGCAAATTGAATCATAGTTTAAATTTGTAATTAATATTATTAATCTGTCAGGGTTTGTGTATGGACTTCATTCTTGCTTTTTCTTCTAGCAATATACAATGCTGGCAATATCATCAACAGATTTACAAGGGTTGCTGAAGAGCTTTTTGGCATGTTGATTTCAGTCTTGTTCATTCAAGAGGCTATTAAGGTCAGTGATTAAAAAATAATAAATGATTTTGTATGAAAAGAAGTCTAATTATACAAGTTTACTGATATAATGCAGGGAATAATAAAGGAGTTTAGTGTTCCTAAAAATGAAAACTCAAAATTAGAGCAGTACCAGTTTCACTGGCTTTATGTGAATGGCCTATTAGGTGTTATATTCACATTTGGCCTTCTCTATACGGCATTGAAGAGTAGAAGAGCAAGATCATGGTTATATGGGACAGGTTTGTTATTACAAAAGATTTTTGTGACTTAATAGATACTTAATTTTCTGTTTAACTACGCTATTATTTAGCACAGACGCCAGAAGGTGTATCTAGTGTCACGTGATAGTGTTTGTGTCAGTATCGTGTCTGTATCAATATTTCATAGTTAAAGTATATATGACATGGGTCTTGTTTATTGGATAGGGTGGTTGAGAAGCTTTATTGCAGACTATGGTGTTCCTTTCTTGGTGGTAGTATGGACAGTTGTGTCATTCTCAGGGCCAAGAGAAATACCTTCTGAAATTCCAAGAAGACTAGTTGCTCCTCTTGCTTGGGAATCTACATCTCTACACCATTGGACTGTTATCAAAGTAATTCGCGCGTGTTCAACTAAAGCCTAGTTTTTTTTTCTTTCAAAATGTTAATGAACTAATAATAGATTGTAACATATGACACAGGACATGGGGAAGGTTTCTCCAACATATATTTTTGCTGCTTTTATTCCTGCATTGATGGTAGCAGGACTTTACTTCTTTGATCATAGTGTTGCTTCTGGGATGGCACAACAGAAGGAATTCAATCTCAAGAAGCCTTCTGCATATCATTATGACATATTCTTACTCGGATTCACGGTATCTATCTGTATATAAGTTCCTTTTTAGATATACCCAATTATGAAACTCATCACTAATATAATCATTTCAGACTTTGCTTTGTGGACTACTTGGCTTGCCACCTTCAAATGGTGTTCTTCCTCAATCCCCTATGCACACCAAGAGCCTCGCAGTTCTCAAGGGTCTGATGATCAGAAGAAAAATGGTTGAAAGTGCGAAAGATAGCATAAGAAATAAAGCTAGTAACACCGAAATCTACGGGAAGATGCAAGCAGTGTTTGTAGAAATGGACAGCAGCAGCCATGTTACTTCTGTGGAAAAAGAATTAGAGAACTTAAAAGAGGTTGTTCTAAAAGGTGAAGATAATGGAGATAACAAGAAGGATACATTTGACCCTGAGAAGCATATTGATGCATGTTTGCCTGTTAGAGTAAATGAGCAAAGAATCAGCAATCTCTTACAATCACTCTTTGTTGGAGCATCAGTTTTTGCCATGCCTGTCATAAAAAAGATTCCGACTTCGGTTTTGTGGGGATACTTTGCATACATGGCCATTGATAGTCTTCCTGGTAACCAATTCTGGGAAAGGATACTACTTCTCTTCGTAACGCCTAGTAGATGGTTCAAGTAAGTACAAGTCACTCTTAACTGTAATCACAATTGCAATTTAAAATCATGCTAATATGTCAAGTTAACGTATTACGCCAGGTTATTGGAGGGTCATCATGCTTCCTTTGTGGAATCGGTACCAATTAGAAACATAGTCTTCTTCACAATATTCCAATGTGTGTATTTCTTGGTTTGTTTTGGAGTGACATGGATTCCAATAGCTGGAATATTGTTTCCTTTGCCTTTCTTTTTACTGATCTTGGTGAGACAATATATTCTTCCCAAGCTGTTTAGCCTTCATCACCTAAGAGAACTTGATGCAGCTGAATATGAAGAAATCGTTGGTGCTCCGAGACTCTCGGTAAGTGTATGTAGTATTTAAGTCTCAATTCTATTATTTACACATTTATGTCTGTTAAAACGTACAGAGGCAGAAACCTGACATGACACTAACACTAAGACGTAGATATTGGTAATGAAGTTGAATGTAAAAGTGCTTCTTCACTTATTCCAGATGGATTCACCTAGTTTTGGATCAAGGGAATTGTCTGACAGTGAAATATTAGATGAACTGACTACTAGTAGAGGAGAATTGAAGGTCAGAAGTCTAAGCTTTAGAGAGGAAAGACATGGTCAAGTAAGTTGTGAATACAACTATATTGTCTTTTTCTTGATTTGTAAGAAAACAATTTGATTTGCTTTTATCTTTTTGTTATTGAACCATTTCAACATTGCTTAAGATATTTAGTTATTTTAATTAGGATCAACCTATAAAGTATATCTTACATTCATTGTAATCAAGCCTTTTGTTATAAGCTTTTAATTCTTTTGAAAAATGTTGAATAAACTTTAATGTTATAGTTAATGAGTTTTTACTATTAAGTTAATGGAGAGTTTAAGAATCTGTTGTAATTGGAAGGCCAAGAGATAGTAGGCAAATTAATAGTATTTACTAATTATTAAGTTTCCTAGAATAGCTAAAGCTTGTAAGTCTATATAAAGACCAAGAGTGTATTCTAATAAGATACAGAAGTTACAATAGAACTTGTTTTATTCTGTCAAATATAGAGCAAGTAAAAAGCAGAGAAAAAAGAAAAAAGGCAGTTTCTGAGTAGAACTTCCACCAGTGGAAGTATAGTTGAAAAAGTGCCCGAAAATATTTTAACTGCAGAATTTAGTTTCTTACAAATTGGCATCAGAGCTAATGGCAAACATGATGAATCAAATGCCGTTGCCACGGCTAACGAAGTTAAATTACGAAAACTGGAGTATCCAAATGAAAGCACTTCTCGGATCTCTAGACGCGTGGGAGGTGACCAAAGATGGGTTTGAAGAACCAACAGATATTGGTGGATATACGGCAGCTCAAAACAAGGCGTTGAAAGAGACGCGATCGAAGGATAAAACGGCACTATACATGCTGTTTAGGGCTGTTGATGAATCAGGTTTCGAAAAGATTTCCGGTTCGACTACGTCGAAAGAAGCGTGGGACACGCTAGAGAAAGTGTTCAAAGGAGCAGATAGAGTAAAGCAAGTTCGACTCCAAACTCTTCGTGGAGAATTGGAGAGGATGCAGATGAAGGAGTCAGAAAATGTATCTGACTACATCACGCGTGTACAAAAGGTGGTGAACCAACTCACCAGAAATGGCGAAACAGTAACTGATGCACGAGTTGTCGAAAAGATTTTGAGATCTTTAACAGATAAATTTGAGAATATTGTGTGTGCAATAGAAGAGTCGAAGGACCTTTCGACACTGTCAGTCGAAGACCTCGCTGGTTCCCTCGAAGCACACGAACAACGAAAGATGAAAAAGAAGGAAGAAGGAGTAGAGGACGCAAATCAAACCAAGGAGCAAATCAAAGACGAAAAAGTACTCTTTTCTCAAAATTTTCGAGGAAGAGGACGTGGTCGTGGAGGACGTGACAGTGGTCGAAGTGGTAGAGGCAACAATTTCGGGAGAGGACAGTCGATCCAACAAAATTGGCGTGGCAGAGGACGTGGTCAAAGAGGTGGTAGGTCGAACCATTCAAATTTTGAATGCTACAAGTGTGGCAAGTATGGTCATTATGCGAAGGATTGCAACTCATTCAAATGCTATAACTGTGATAAAGTGGGACATCTTGCAAAAGATTGTCGAATCGAAAAGAAGGTAGAAGAAACAACCAATCTAACTTTGGAAGCTGAAGCAAATGAAGGTTTTCTCTTGATGGCTCAGAATGAGATCAACACAAATGACAATGTTTGGTATCTTGACTCAGGAGCAAGTAACCATATGTGTGGTCACAAACACTTGTTCAAAGAAATGAGAAAGATTGAAGACGGAAATGTGTCTTTCGGAGATGCATCGAAAGTGAAGGTCGAAGGCAAGGGAACGATCTGTTACTTGCAGAAAGATGGGTTGATTGGATCAATTCAAGATGTTTATTATGTACCAAATCTCAAAACCAACATCTTGAGTTTGGGACAACTTACAGAAAAAGGTTATTCGATACTTATGAAAGAACGAATAATGCATTTGAAGGACAAGCTGGGACATCTGATTGCTCGTGTCGAAATGGAGAGAAATCGAATGTACAAACTGAATCTGATAAACGTTCGAGAAAAATGTTTACAAGTAAATGTCGAAGACAAAGCGTCACTATGACATCTACGCTTTGGTCATCTACATCACGCTGGCTTAAAGAGATTGGCGAAAAGGAACATGGTGCATGGACTACCAGATATGGATTATGAAGGAAAGTTCTGTGAAGAATGTGTACTTAGCAAACAAACAAGAACCTCATTTCAAAAGAAGGCATAATATCAGGCTAAGCATATCCTTGAATTGATTCACACCGACATATGTGGGCCAATCACGCCAGAATCTTTCAGTAGCAAAAGATACTTTATTTCCTTTATCGACGATTACTCACGGAAGACATGGGTTTATTTCTTGAAAGAAAAGTCTGAAGCATTCTAGGTGTTCAAAAGGTTCAAAGTAATGGTAGAGAAGGAAACCGACAGACACATTAAAGCAGTTCGATCAGATAGAGGTGGTGAATATACTTCGACAACCTTTATGAAGTATTGTGAAGAGCAGGGTATAAGGAGATTTCTAACTGCAGCATACTCACCCCAACAAAATGGGGTGGCTGAAAGGAAAAATCGAACAGTCCTTGACATGGTTCGTTCAATGCTTAAAAGCAAGAACATGCCAAAGGAATTTTGGGCAGAAGCTGTAAAATGTTCCATTTATGTTCAAAATCGATGTCCACATTCGAAGCTAGAAGATAAAACACCACAAGAAGCGTGGAGTGGACAGAAGCCAACAGTTTCTCATCTCAAAGTATTTGGAAGTGTGGCTTATGCACACGTACCAGATCAAAGAAGAACGAAGCTTGAAGACAAAAGTAAGAAATACATACTCATTGGGTATGATGAGAAAACAAAAGGGTACAAGTTATTTGATCCCATAAGAAAGAAGGTGATAGTGAGTAGAGACGTTCGAATAAACGAAGCAAGTAAGTGGGACTGGAACAGTTCGACAGAAGCTACTATCGAAGTTGAAGAATCATCTGTCGCTGTACCACCAAACATTTCGACAAACATTGAAGATTCTGACAATGAAGATGAACCTCTACAACCTAGAATGCGAAGTTTGCAAGATTTGTATGATTCGACAAGTGAAGTGTACCTTGTATGTCTCTTGGCAGACGCTGAAAACATTAGTTTTGAAGAAGCAGTACGAGACAAGAAATGGAAAAATGCCATGGACGAAGAGATGAGGGCGATTAATCACAACAACACTTGGGAGCTAGTTGAATTGCCAAAAGGTAGTCAACCCATTGGTGTAAAGTGGGTATTCAAGAAAAAGATGAACGCTCAAGGAGAAATAGAACGATACAAAGCGAGACTTGTTGCGAAGGGATACAAACAGAAAGCAGGAGTTGATTATGACGAAGTATTTGCACCGGTCGCAAGAATGGAGACAATTCGACTACTCATATCTCAAGCTGCTCAGTTCAAATGGCCAATATTTCAAATGGATGTCAAAACATCTTTTCTGAATGGAATACTCGAAGAAGAAGTCTATGTTGAACAACCACTCGGATACATGAAAGCTGGAGAAGAGAAGAAGGTACTGAAATTGAAGAAAGCGCTATATGGGCTGAAGCAAGCACCGCGAGCATGGAACACACGTATCGACACATATTTCAAGGAGAACGGGTTCGAGCAATGTCCGTACGAACATGCCCTCTATGTGAAGAAAAATGGAAGGGATGTATTACTTGTTGCTATTTATGTCGATGATCTTATTTTTCTGGGAAGTAATGATCAGATGATAGAAGAATTCAAAAGCACAATGACACGTGAATTTGAAATGACAGACTTAGGCCTGATGAGATTCTTTCTTGGTCTGGAAGTTCGACAAGACGAAACAGGAATCTTCATCTCACAAGAAAAATATGCAAAAGAAATCTTGAAAAGATATAAGATAGAAAGCTGTAATCCTACTTCGACGCCAATGGAACCAGGAACAAAGTTGTCAAAATTTGATGGAGGAGAACGTGTCGAAGCAGGCAAATATCGAAGTTTGGTAGGAAGTCTTCGCTATCTCACATGTACAAGACCAGATCTCTCATTAAGTGTAGGTATTGTAAGTCGATTCATGGAGGAGCCAGTTTACGCACATTGGAAAGCATTGAAGCGAATTTTGAGGTACATCCAAGGAACAATATCGCTTGGGATGTTCTACTCGAATTCAGACAAATACAAGTTGGTTGGTTACTCTGACAGTGATTGGTGCGGAGACATAGACGATCGAAAAAGCACTTCTGGATATGTGTTCTTCATGGGAAATACTGCATTCACTTGGCTTTCTAAGAAGCAGCCAATAGTAACACTCTTGACATGTGAAGCAGAATATGTAGCAGCATCCTGATGTGTGTGTCATGCAATATGGCTCAGAAGATTGATGAGTAAAATGGAGCTAGAACAGAAAGGTGCAACAACGATACAAGTTGACAACATGTCAGCAATTGAGTTAGCAAAGAATCCAGTAAATCATGAAAGGAGCAAACACATTGACGTTCGCTTCCACTTCATTCGAGAACACGTGAAGGAAGGAAATGTTGAATTGAAGCATGTAGCAAGTAAAGATCAAGCAGCAGACATTTTCACAAAACCACTATCAAAAGAAATCTTCGACAGAGGCAAGAAATTGATAGGCATGATGGATAGAAGAAACATTTAAGTTTACAGAGGAGTTTTGTTGAATAAACTTTAATGTTATAGTTAATGAGTTTTTACTATTAAGTTAATGGAGAGTTTAAGAATCTGTTGTAATTGGAAGGCCAAGAGATAGTGGGCAAATTAATAGTATTTACTAATTATTAAGTTTCCTAGAATAGCTAAAGCTTGTAAGTCTATATAAAGACCAAGAGTGTATTCTAATAAGATACAGAAGTTACAATAGAACTTGTTTTATTCTGTCAAATATAGAGCAAGTAAAAAGCAGAGAAAAAAAGAAAAAAGGCAGTTTTTGAGTAGAACTTCCACCAGTGGAAGTATAGTTGAAAAAGTGCCCGAAAATATTTTAACTGCAGAATTTAGTTTCTTACAAAAAATGGTTGGTCTAATTTGTTTGAATGTCAATGGTTTGTATTGCATGCAGGTGATCTATCCTAATGAAATAGTATGTGAAAATGAATAATCAAAGAGTTAAAGACTTATGGAGAAAGTATCGTTAGTGGTCACTATTTACTATCTATAGAAGAAAAGAGAAGATATCAATAAATGTGAATTTGTACAATATTTGTATTTAAAGTGTATTGTGTATTGTGTTATATTGGATAATATGAAAAACATACTTGTGATAATCTGTTTTAGTTTTCTCTGATAATAATGTAATCTACATCTGTTATCTAATGTTTAACTAATCGTCTACATTATTTACCTCTGGTGTTCACCCAACATTCTGTAGCATGATATTTAGATGGATGTGAAAAAGTTGTGCACGCTTATTCAGTTCGTCAACAAAAATAATACATGTCAAGCAAACAAGGGTTATTACAACCTCTTGAAATTCAAACACAAGTATGGGAAAATTTATCAATGGATTTCATATTACAAACTCTTATTCAGAATCAAAGTCTAGAGAATAACATCCTCAACATTCAACATTTCCAACCAGAGGCTAAACCCCACTACTGAGAGGTTGTAGGACTGGGCGGTTAATCCACTGATATTTCCTAGAATATGGTCAAATGACCCATTTTTTATTGTTACTGAGTGGAGACATGCCATTTCTCCACTTTTCCATATCAGACTACCATTTCTAAAGGGAGACGAGATGTTTAATGGAAAATGCGACATATTTAATAAGGCTTAATACCATTTTTAGTCCCTTACTTATATCTTTGGATTTATTTTGGTCCTCTTTCTTTTAAAACATCCAATTTGTTCCCTTACGTTATCAAAAGTGTATCATGTTTGTCCTTTCTGTTAGAAACGTTAGATTAGCCTCATAAACTTGGCTGACATGGTAAGTTATTGCATAGGTAGTAGGAAAAGATTGTTTAGGTGGCATGGTAAGTAACATTAATGGTTAGGTGGCATGGTAAGTAAGATTATATTTACATTTCATTTTTCATTCTCACAAAAGTTGAAATAGGAACCCTAGCAGAAAGAATGAAGAAGGCATTAAATGCATGACGAAGACACATTGTAGACGGCGAATGTCTCAATCAACGTTAGTTTTAACAATGTCTTTATCTATTATCACTACGTGTTCATAGTTTCGTTGCATTTTCGTACTATCACTGTATGGTCGTAGTTTTGTTAGTTGGGTTTAGATATCTAGGGATTTCGCCCCTTTTGAAATTTGTTCTATAATTTTATGTTTTCTTGTCTTAGGTAGAAATGGATGAAATTTTGTGTTAGAAAATTTATCATAGTGGTGAGATTGTGGACTCTGAAAAAACTGTGTATGTCGGGGACAAATGCAATGATTTAAAAGTAGATGTGAATAGATGGAGTTACTTTGAATTGGTTGGTATACTGAAAGGTTTAGGTTATACTGAGGTAGACACCATCTATTATAATGACCCCACTTTTGAGATGAATGTTCTTAATGATGACAAGGGTGCGTTAGAGATTGCTGACCAATGTAGGGTACACTTGATAGTTGATATTTACATAGAACATCCCTTGTCCCAACCAGAGTATGTTGATAGTCCTATAGAAGAACCTATAAATATGGAGGAAGAACCTATAAGTGTGTTTAACCCAGAGGTAGAAGCCATACTTGAAGATCTTTATGAAGAAGTCATTAAGGATGATAAGCAAGGTAGTGAGGGTGTGAATGTAGGTACTGATGGTGTGAATGTAGGTCCTGATAATTTGTACAAAGATGGTGTTGAGGGTGTGAATATAGGTCCTGAGGATTTGAACAATGATGGTGAGGTGCATGATGGTATAGATACTAATACAGGTTTGCTGAATGTTGTTACAAGTTGTGATGACAATGGAGATGAGACTTACAATTATAATAGTGCTTTGGAAGTTGCATTTAGTGATTCTGATATGAGTGAGGATTATGCTGAAGAACACTTAGACAACTTAGTTGAATATGATGGAAACCATGAAGGAACAAGTAAAAAGAAGAAAAAGAAATGGGAAGGAGACAATGGAGATGAAAATGGAAGTGCATATGATATTGAGGAGTTAGAAAGTGGTTGTGATAGTGAGGGGAGTGATGCACCAAGAAAGAAAAAGTATATGAGTTTTAATTTAATGAAAGATGTGTCTAATTATAAATGGGAGCTGGAAACTTATTTTAGTTCAAAAAGTGACTTTAAGGAAGCAATTCACACCTATGCTGTCCAATCTGAGAGAGATCTAAAGTTTTTAAAAAAAATAACAAACAAAAGACTGAGGGTGAGGTGTAAGGAATGATGCCACTGGTCTGCATATTGTGGAAAGTTGCTTAATGAGGAGACTTGACAACTTAGGAAAATAGTTGATATTCACAATTGCTCTAGAGAATACAATGTGAAGATGATAAGTACCAAATGGCTTAGCAAGAGGATTCAAAATTCACTGAAAAATAATCTAAGATGAAGATATTGGTTATTTTGTGTTCATCCAAACATTTTGTGTTCATGCAATTTTTATGAATTTTTGTAGGATGTCATCTGAGTTCATCTTTGAAGTCAGACACATTGAGAATCAAACTGATATGTTTTCTGTTAACTTAAAGGACCATGAATGTTCATGCATAAAGTGGCAACTAACAACTCTCCCTTGTGTTCATGCAATTTCTACATTGAAGAGTATAAGTCTATGTATTGATGATTACATCCCAGAGTTTTATAAGAAGTCAAGGTATCAAGATGTTTATAAACATGTCATTTATCCTATTAATGGAACCAATTTATGGGTCATAATATAGTACCCAGATGTGCAACCATCAAGATTCAAAAAAAATGCAGGAAGACCCAAGAAGAGGAGGAACCGTGAGAAGGGTGAAATTGATGGGACATATAGAAAAATGAGAAAAAATGGAATGGTGCTGAGGTGTACCAGGTGCAGACAAATTGGACACAACAAGTCAACCTGTAAGAGAACTCCTTTAACTCAAGCAACTCAAGCAAGGGCTTCAAACTCATCTCAACCACCATCTCTGTTAGTTCCTGATTGGCAGACATTTTGGTAAAACTTGGTGAAATCACAAGATGTCCTACAGGATGCCTTGACATATGGTTTTAAGATTCTGCAGGTTGCTATGTTTGTTGTTGCAGGATGTCAAGCATGATGTCCTGACTTTTGTGAATAAAATATTCTGTGAGAATGTGTTTGTTTGTCTGTTTCTTTTGTGCAACTCTTTGCGCTACTATGACCTGTCCTTTATGGATTAAATCTGCGTGGATTTAGTTCTTATATCGTGGAAGAGTTATAGATTCAAGTAGAGCTATTTTCTGAAGAAAATCTTGAAGATCTGAAGAGTGATTTGATTGGAGCTGACTGGATCAAATCAAATATGTTTCATTGATGCTGATTATTTAGATTGATTTCTTCAAGATCAGATGTTATTTTTGCCACAACCCAAGCTCGTCCAAGTGTTGCTATTTAAAGCATCGCAACCCTAGTTTTCAGGTCAGAGAAGCTAGGTTTAAGATTGTGCAATTGCGTAAGGATTAGTGTTCTAGCTTTCGTGTGTCTTGTGTTAGTTTGTGAGCCACTCACTCATTACTTTAATGTGTGAATTGGACTAAGTTTCGTATTGTAAGTTGTTCACTCAAAGCTAGTAAGCAAGAGTGCATTGTACTTGATTGAAGCTTTTAAGCAAGATCAAGATTGTGTCTTTGAAGAGTGTCTTCTAAAGTCTTATTATTTTTGTTGTTATCACTGCTGTGATTAAGGGGGAGTGAGAGGTGTCTCTTATCTAGGAGTTTCCTAGGTAGAAATTGCAAGGGTAGAAATTAGGTGAGAAAATGGTAAACTAGAGAGAGTCTACTGTATATCTTCAAACTAATTCTACTCAGTGGATTTCCTTCCTGGCTTGGTAGCCCCTAGACGTAAGTGTGTTTTCACCGAACTGGGTTAACAATTGCTTGTATCTTTTTACTTTTGTTATCGGTTTGTCCTTGTTCTTATTGATGATTGTACAGATATTAGTGTCGTAACACCGCCTTCGACATCTAATATCTGATACCAGAATTTCAATTGGTATCAGAGCAGGCATCCTGCTCTGGTTCTGGATGAGATCTAGAGACGATATTTTCTGGTACCATGGATAAAGAAGGAGGATTTGTGAACAGACCACCTGTTCTGGACGGGAGTAATTATGACTATTAGAAACCACATATGGTTGCTTTCTTAAAATCTTTGAATAGTAAGGCCTGGAAAGCTGTTATAAAAAGGATGGGAACATCATGTGATTATTGATAAAGATGGAAAGGCTACATCTGACTTGAAGCCTGAGGAAGAATGGACAAAGGAAGAGGATGAGCTGGCTCTTGGTAACTCCAAAGCCTTGAATGCCCTGTTCAATGGAATTGATAGGAACATATTCAGATTGGTGAACAACTGTGAGGTGGCTAAAGATGCTTGGGAGATACTCAGGACTACCCATGAAGGTACATCCAAGGTAAAGATGTCTAGACTTCAACTGCTAACTACAAAGTTTAAAAACCTAAGGATGAAAGATGATGAAAGCATACATGACTTTCATATGAATATTCTTGAAATAGCAATGCTTCAAGTGCCCTAGGTGAAAAGATGTCAGAAGAAAAGCTAGTAAGAAAAATTCTCAGATCTCTTCCCAAGAGATTTGACATGAAAGTAACTGCTATAGAGGAATCACAAGACATTTGCAAGATGAGAGTTGGTGAACTCATTGGGTCTCTTTTAACCTTTGAAGTGGGAATAAGTGACAAAGCTGATAAGAAAAAGAGCATAGCCTTAATGTCAAATACTGAAAATGGAGAGGATGAATTAGATGAGGATACAAATGAAAGTTTATCAAATTCCATAGCGCTTCTTGGAAGACAGTTCAACAAAGTGATGAAAAGAATTGACATGAAGTCAAGACCTAATGTCAAGAACATCTCTCATGACATCAGTAGGTCCAATGATGCAGGTAGGAGAACCAGGACTAAAGAAAAACCCACCAATATAAAATTCCATGGATGTGAAGGTTTTGGTCACATT